CTACTATCGCCCGACCATGTCCAAATGTTAAAAAAGGTGATTCGTAGAGTCCTAGTTACTCAGACTATCTGGAGCCCATATGCGCACAAAAATCATCTGTTGGTGGCAGCCATTTTAAATGTAAGAAGCGAAGACCGAGCATGACGTTGCGCTTATGCAAATCGATGTCACTCAAGCGCGCAAGTTGCGATGCGATGGCTGTTTCTTGTACAATTGATTCACCCATACTGTATGGCTGCGTGCTATAATACTATAGGTTGAGAGATTGTACAAGAAACAGCCGTCACATCGCAACTCGCGCGCCTGAGCGACAAGATCGATTTATATAAGTGCGACGTCACAGCTTTGTGGTCATCGCTTCTTACATTTAAAATGGCTGCCATCAACAGACGATTTACGTGCGCATATGGACTCCAGAAAGATTAAAAAATTTCTCGAAAAATTGGATTACACCTACCGTAAGCATCCCAGAAGTGAACAGCTGAGACATCATTATATAAGCACCTATCAAAGGGTCCCCCCCCCCCCCCTGCGCAGCCCCAGGTCCGATGTCGGGATTTGGTCACGTTTTTCAGGCCCCGGGGTGGGGATTTTGGTCACTCAAATTACATTGTTACCATTGCCGGGCTACATGGAAATGCATGTACTAGTGCACCCAATGTATGTATGTCGGGGTATGGTCGGGAATTGTCACTTAAATTTTGCCCGAGGGGTGGGGATTTTGTCACTTCAAAAGTGACAATCCCCACGTCTTGGGTGGGGCAGCCCGGGGGGGGGGGGGGGGGAAACAATCGATAGGTGCATTAGACCAACTAACTGGGGTGCTAGAACTCCTGTTTTGACATTTGGGATGTGGTCTGTCGTCAAAAAAGGAGTTCTAGCGCCCTAGCCCCATAAATGTGGCGAATTTACTAGACTACCTCTGTAAATAAAGGCCACACTTCCACCATGTACAAAAACATGTCGAACTTTGTCAAATTTTTATTTTCACATTTAGGCTTTTTGTAGTTTTTTTTGCTTTAGAACCATACTCACCCTCTTTAAAGGCTAATCAGAAAGCGCTGCCTTTTTCAGATGTCTATTTTTCGTGAAATGTCCAGATTCGTTTGCACACGTTTGCTCTTTAAAATTTCAACATGAAATTTCACAAAAATTAGACAGGTTGTGAAAAAGCCTAAATGTGAAAATTAAAATTTGACAAAGTTCGTCATGTTTTTGTACATGGTGGAAGTGTGGCCTTTATTTACAGAGGTAGTCCAGTAAATTGGCTTCTTCTAGAACTATGATGCTCCGCGGAGCGGAGCCTCATAGACAGCTTACCCCGCAAAATTGTTTGCTTCTACAAAACACCAAATAAGTACAAAAACGTCCATCACAACCAAGCCATTTCCCACAGAACCGCTGCACAGTTTGCCCCTAAACTCCGTACTATAACTCTTGACATTCTCACGTTATGTGCACCCAACAAACATCGGTGGATTCTGTCGGTTTTTAGGCCAAAATGATGAAAAATATGCCCTTTCCGCACTGTGCCAACCTGACACTTGTAACATGCACGCAGAATGATCGATCGATTATTTTCAGTTCGCTGGACTACCTCCGTATTATAAGTCACAAAGCCACGTACGGCCTGTGCGTGCGTCAATTTTGGCAAAGTGCACTGCGGCTGTTACCCGTCATTCCAAAATCTTTGGCGCTCTGTAAAGTGCCCGGATGCAATACGCGACCACGGATGAAGAGCGCACACAAGATGGCGCGCTTCACTGCAGAGTGCTTTAAAGATTTTGGAATGACAGGTAACAGCCACGGTGCGCTTTGCCAAAATTGACGCACGCTCAGTGGATGATTAAAGCTTTCGTCTGGTTCCTCGACCCCTTTAGCCTCTTGACTATTATTAGGGTGGCCGGGAAACAGTCTGGAGACGCCATGCTTGTCAAAAAACGTCTGCATTCTTTGACGATTTACCATGATTTTTGGATAACTAGACCTCTGAAGGTACCGAATTTAACAATTTTGTGCTATTTAGCAGTCATACTATAGCTGGGTTGATTTTCTGCTCACAAAATAATTTCGATCTTTAATTAATTTTTGGTTCCCCCTAGCAACGGGACGCTCCGCGCACAGGCCGTACGTGGCTTGGTGACTAAATACGTTGTGGGAAATGGCTTGGTTGTGATGGACGTTTTTGTACTTAAATGTTGTTTTGTAGAAGCAAACAATTTTGTGGGGTAAGCTGTCTATGAGGCTCCGCTCTGCGGAGCATAGTTCTAGGACTAGGAGTATAAATTGGCCACATTTATGGGGCTACTAGCGCCCTAGCTCTACTGAGTGGAGCGTTGAACTACGGTACCCTCCGTACAAACGCTCCACCAATTTGGCATACTTTGGTGACGGCTTCACAGTAGCATGATAGTGTACATACCCACGCGAGGACAAAAAGACCCCCAAAAAACGGTAAAGAGAATACAAATGAGAAAGACAGTAACCCTGGATAGATCCACACATTCATGACATTCCATAAGACCCCTTATATTGTTCCCAAACAGCGGACATTTTGAAAAAAAAAACCAGCAAAATAGTCAGAAAACTTACAGCTCAATGTGTTTGCCGTGAAGCTCAGACCTTGCTCCGACTTGCCGAATGAGGGCGTCTGACGTGACGTCACCGTCGTTGCTCGATCGAAGGAAAAACAAGTTGCGCTTAAGCAACGACTGTTTCATGTAGTCATATGTGTCCCGCGCTAAAAGCTCACACTGTCAGACGGCGCGGGGCACATATGTCTACATAAAACAGTCGTTGAGTAAGCGCTACTTGTTTTTCTTCAATGGTGACGTCACATACGCGCGCGACGAATTATGCATCAGTCATGTCAGTGATGGACTGTACAACTCGGCAGACACATTTAATTGTGAGCGGTAAGTTCAGACTATTTTGTTCTTTTTTTCAAAATTACCGGTTGTTTGGAACAATTTAAGGGGTCTTATGGAATGTCATGAATGTGTGGATCTATCCAGGGTTACTGTCTTTCTCACTTGTATTCTCTTTATCAGTTTTGTTTGGGCCTTTTGTCCTCGTGAGGGCATGCACAAATTGCATACCGTCATGTCGACTGTGTACCCATCACCCAAGTATGCCAAATCGGTGGAGCGTTTGTACGGAGGGTACCGTAGTTCAACCCTCCACTCAGTAGAGCTACTAGTACTAGCGCCCCAGTTAATAGTGCGACAACCAAATGTATTGTAACTTTTTATGTAAGAAACTTTGCGTAATTTTTGGAGCAATTCCTCAGTAGAGGGTGTGAACCTGGCGTGTGGCCAGAGATACAGTGCAGCAATACCGCGCGGTCCTACTAAAGCACGTCAACAAGCGTCAACAAGCGTCAATGGTCGTCAATGAGCATCAATAAATTTTGTGCATGCTTTTGAACATTAAAAGTAGCTTTATATGGTAGAAAAAAGCAATAAAGAACATCTTCTGCATATCAATTAAAGTTAAAATTATTCAAAAACTTGGTTTTTTAACGTGAAATGTACGACGAATTTGTCGATTAGTGTTGGCCGCCATCTTGTTTGGATGGCGCTGTACACTTCGCGCATGCGTAGTATGGCTCTGTACACTTCACGCATGCGTAGTAGGGCTAAGCTCACTGATCTCTATATAAAGACTGGATAGCAGATATCCATACACCAGTCTCACAGTAGACTTTGCATATTGACCAATTCGCCCCCGGTCTCACAAAGATGGTCGCGTATAATACGAACGTTCTACGCGTATATACGCGCGCGTTGTATCAACAGTTGACGTGCATTTTGGTCACGTACACATATTATGATGTTCTAAACAGGACACATTTCCGTAGTGATTATTATTTCCAAAACGCCGAAAAAGTGAACTGCGGCATTAAAAAAGTAAACCGGCACGACGTTAGAAAAATTGTAAATCTTGGTCACTTGTGGTGGTCAAAATATAAGTTAAGTGAACCGCGATGTTACAAAAGAAATCATGCCGTCTATAAAGACGGCAACTTGTCCTTTGTAGATCACCAGCCGGTCTCACCGGTCTCACCAATATGGCGTCAAATTCATTCATTGTGCGGCTCTTTATCCGCTATCCAGTCTTTATATAGAGATCAGTGGCTAAGCTTCACGTAAACAAGATGGCGGCCAACTTTAATCAACAAATTCGTCGTACATTTCGCGTTAAAAAAAACAAGTTTTTAAAAATTTTATCTTAAGTTTAAGATAGTGGATATTTTGCCGGAGGTAATGACGGCAAACTAACGTTTACTAAAGGTTTGCCGGCGGCAATCCATATCAACAGAGGGCGCTGTACTCTTTAAGATAGGGCTCCATTATAAGATGTATTAAATTCCCACCAAAAGTTGTGTAGCACGTTTGGTGTAGTGGTAAAGCAAAGGCTCTAGTAAGCGGGATGACTCGGGTTCGAATCCGACCGGAGCATATTTTTAAGGTTTTTTTTCTCATCCCCAAATAAATAAGAATATTCTTCTTTTATTATTTTAACATGTCTCAAACATTTTTTTGCAGAGTATTTAATTTTCTTTTTCAGCTTTGTGGCTCTGGAGGATTTTTTTAATAAAAGGGAAATAAAGTCCGAAATTATAAAATGGTCCGAGTCCCATCTTGTGAATACGAGGTTACAACGATAAGTTTGGCATGGAGCCAGACTAAAATTTGTCACCGGAAAATGTTCAAGTACAAAAAACCAGTAACTGCGCATGTTCAGTGCATATCCGGCAAACTAACGTTTACTAAAGGTTTGCCGTCTCCGGCAAAATATACACTGCCTTAGTTTAATTGATATGCAGAAAATGTTCTTTGTTGCTTTTTCTACCATATAAAGCTACTTTTAATGTTCAAAAGCATGTACAAAATTTGTTGATGCTCATTGACGACCGTTGAGTCTTGTTGACGCTTGCTGACGCGCTTTAGTAGGACCCATACCGCGGCCACACTACTGAGGGCTAACCCGTGACCTACCTCGATCTCAAAATCAGGAAGTGAAAATGTGCTTCGAAACAACGAGCAGAAATGTGCGATAGCCGGAACTTTCCAGCTTGATCGAATGTCTTCGATGGAGACATCTAACTGTCTCCCTTTCGCTGCTTCTTTCATATTTAACAATGTTTGAATATCCGCCTGACCATCTGCCGTGTTGAAACTCAAATCTCGTATTCGTAGGGTTGATAATATACAAAACTACGAGGAGACAATTTGAGACTATGCTGTGACTGTCGTGACTGTGTGCCGCGTATAGCGCGCTACATATCCGCCGTTTGCAAGTACATGAAGTACAAGTACTTTTGCACAAAGAAGCTGAGGACATAGCGCCCTCATTCGACAAATTAAAGTACCGGTAAGGTCACGTGTGCGCCGCAATAAAATCAGGAGTACTGTATTGTATGTAGTATAAGTGTTACGCATGATAGAGCCGGGGAGCTGAGTTGAGCTGAGCCTAAGCTGAGCTGAGGTCATTTGAGGAAGTTTGGAAAAAAGAGCCCATGTGTCAGCCTCCATGTCACTTTGTTAGTAACGAGGTAAGTGTATAAAGAATAGGCTTTGGAATTCTTACCAGAAATTACGGCAATTGTGTAGTAGACCGGGAGCTAGGACATTATTTGTAGGACTAGGTTGAGTTTAGCTTGAGTGAATATGTCAGCATGTCAGCTGGAGTTGAATCCCCCTGGAGTTACTGTCAAGTTAGGTTGAGTTTAACAATTTGAACACAAAAAATCTGAGGTCGGATGGGGGTCAGGGGACCATGGTCAAGTGTCGAAAATTTCGAGGAGTAAGCAGAATACCCCGCCACTCGGAAATACACCCCTAAAATCACTGGCTACGAGCATGGAGGAATAAGAACGAGGTTGGAATCACTGCAAAAGAAACAATTCAAGTCCATTGCCAGGTACGCGGATACTGAGTGGGCAGGTGGGGGTCCATTATTTGAGAACGAAGCAACACAAAATGAATGGGAGTTGCTGAAAACAATTCTAAGTCCAAACCAACCACCCTGTTGGCGGCTACGAAGCTACGGAGTGGGAGTCCCCTTGAATATGCTTGAGAAAGAAGCAACACAAAAGGAATGGGAGTTGCTGAAAAAAATTCTAAGTCCAAACCAACTACCCTGTTGGTAGCCCCATAAATGTGGCCTATTTACTGGACTTCCTCCGTAAACATAGGCCACACATCCACATGTACAAACAAAAATCGTGTCGACTTTGCCAAATGTTGATTTTCACATTTAGGCTTAGTTTGTAGGGTTTTTTTGCTTTAGAAGCATACTCACCCTCTTTATAGGCTAATCAGAAAGTGCTGCCTTTTTCAGATGTATATTTTTCGTGAAATTTCCAGATTCATTTTTACATGTTTGCGTATGAAAAATTTCAACATAAAATTTCACAAAAATTAGACATCTGAAAAAGGCAGCACTTTCTGACTAGCCTATAAAGAGGCTGAGTATGCTTCTAAAGCAAAACAATCCTACAAACTAAGCCTAAATGTGAAAATCAAAATTTGGCAAAGTCGACACGATTTTTGTACATGTGGATGTGTGGCCTATGTTTACGGAGGCAGTCCAGTAAATAGGCCACATTTATGGGGCTACCCTGTTGGCGGCTACGCAGTCACGAAGTGGGAGTGCAATGGAGCATGACGCATAGTACATACAAGTAGCGCTGAGAATGTTTATTGAGGTCAATCAGCCGTGACCTCGTAGCCGGCTACGAGGTGGATAGCCCCAAATGTGGCCAGTTTACTGGACTGCCTCCGTAAACATAGGTCACACATCCGCCATCACTGAACCTACTCGAACCAATTTTTCAAAGTGATTTCCACATTGCGACTTCAGACCCAGTTCATTTATGCTAACAAAGTTTGAACTTGCTTCCAGTGTCAGTTGCCCAGCTGCTGCGTAATTTACGATATTTTCTGGAGCCTTCTTGGCAACTTTTCGGTCCAACTGAACAATAACCTCGCGCAATACCTGACGGGATACGAACCAATATGCAGGGATTGTTCACCTGTCAATCACGCGTGCACGAGGCACGCCGCAGGTAGTCTGGTTCCCAGGCCTGACAATTATTCCTGACGCTCACGTCTAAATAATCATCAGGAATAGTCAGAATCTTTTGGTCTGGGAACCGGACTACCACCGGGCCTGCGGCGTGCCTCGTGCATGTGTGATTGACAGGTGAACGATCCCTGCATATTGGTTCGTATCCCGTCAGGTATTGCGCGAGGTTATTGTTCAGTTGGACCAAGAAGTTGCCAAGAAGGCTCCAGAAATAATAATAAATTACGCAGCAGCTGGGCAACTGACACTGGAAGCAGGTTCAAACTTTGTTATTAAGAGGGTGAGTGTATTTTTAAAGCATAAATGAACTGGGTCTGAAGTCGCAATGTTGAAATTACTTTTAAAACTTCGCCGAGTAGGTTCAGTGATGGCGGATATGTGGCCTATGTTTACGGAGGCAGTCCAGTAATCTGGCCACATTTGGGGCTACGAGGTGGATAGATCGAGTGGCGGGGTATTCTGCAAATGTGCCAATTTGGAGTTTAATTAACATGTCCCGCACAAGCGCCGTTTTTGGACTTAAGTGTTGAGATTGACCCCCTCGTACAAAAAATGCTACTTGAGAACGGAAAAAGTCAGATAAAGTTACTTAAGAATGATTTAAAGTCGATAAAGATTGTATTGATGGGTAATCCTTACTTTTAGGACACCTCTATTTTTTACAAGTTCTGTTCAAAACTGACTTTTGCAGATGACTGTCCAGCACCAAAGTGACTTTTGCAGGCTAAAGCAGTCTTTTTTCTTCATATAAACTCATGTTAGTTGTAGGTTTGAAAGCACTTTCGAAGAAAATGCGACTTTCCTACCTTTTTTCGCAGTCAGACGTGCATGTTGTAGTTCTCACACGCGTGAAAGCCCTACATAATGAAAGCCCGATGCTGATTGGCTGCTAAAAAAATTAATTAGTCTCGTTCCCAGACCAAAATATTCTGACTACTCCTGAATCTTTTGGTCTGGGAACCAGACTAAAAATAAATAAGTTAGTCTGGTTCTCAGACCAAAAGATTCTGACTATTCCTGAATCTTTTGGTCTGGGAACCAGACTAAAAATAAATAAGATGTTTATTTTTTATCAGCCAATCAGCATCGAGCTTTCATCGCAACGAGCTTTCACGTTTGCCATCTTGGTTTTTGAGTCTGTTTTCTGGTTGTCATCGTCTTTTCCCCCTGAATTTCCCTCATAAATCAAAGCCCTGCTCTCTTTCCACAAAATTAAACCTGCTGATATTCAAGAAGGTGTCATTGCCAATTGTTCAGATGTGCCAAGAAGTATCAGAATGTCAATTTTGAGTGTCATTTAGTCAACTGTTTTGGTGAGTCTTTCCCTTCCTATATCTATTAATAGCGCCCATTGGATAAACACTCAAGTTGCGTTAGCTTCCGGTTCCAATGGGTCTTTATATAGAGATCAGTGGTTCCAACGCTACTTAATGACCAATGGGCATGGTTTAGACTGTACTGACGTCACACTTACGAACCGGATAGGAACGGGGTCCTAAAAGTAAGGATTACCGATTTATGCATGTTTCTATGCTATGTATATAGGCCCTAGGCCTATACAAAATGTACTCTGTGTTACACAAAAAAATGTACACGTATATATCCTGGTCAATAGTGGAGCTCCTTACTCCTAGAACTATGAGGCTCCCTACGTGGAGCCTCATAGTTCTAGGAGTAGGAGCTCCTTAGGTCCATTATTTTTGCCCAAACCGTGCCCAAATTTGTGATAAGAGCATGAAATACGATGTGCAGATCCAAAATAGCTAGGATGATCCTAGTCCGAGTAACTTGGACCCAACTTATCGCCTTTTTAACATTCGGACATGGTCTGGCGATAGTGGGGTCCAAAGCTAATCCTTATATGCCGAGCAACACAATTCTGTCATTGACCCCAAAACCCAACATTGCCCAACAAAAACATCAGATTTCACCCTCAAAACGGCCTCCAAATTACTAAATACGCCACCTGAGGTACAACTAGACATCGATAATTAAGATGGTTGTCAATAAGTATAACTCTTTAGTTGATAGTTCGTGTAGTGTTTATTAGTCATCAACAATGACAACAGCGGCTGCAAAGTAAAGGAAAAGATTACATTATGAATCATAAATTCTATATGCCCCCAAGTCTTTGGGAATAACAAAGGCTAACAATTCTAGGAAGAAAAGATTCCAAATGTAACAGACATAACTAAGTAACCTAAAGAAATGCACAGATTGCAAAGGCGTGAACATGAACAATAAGCAAAAAAGATCGAAACAAGAATAAGCATAGGTTATAGGAAGTAAAGTGTAGCTGTAACTTTGGCTATATAAAAAAAAAGTCCAGAGTATATGGGTGTCCTATAGTTCATCCCGAAGCCTGGCAGGCGGTCGTGACAAGCGAGTGGATCGGCGAGGGGCAGTCGAGGGGCGGTCCAGGGGTGGCAGATCCACGGTCGGGGCCAGGTGTTCCTTCAGACCAGGAGTATTGTGTGGCAGGAGGCCGCGGAGTGCACGGGGAACGGAGCCTGGGTGGGACCGGCTATTGGGTGGACGCGTGGTGGCCACGGTGGGTGTCACAGGTGAGGCGGGAGTCGGTTCCAAGCCATCCGGGGTTGGAGGATGGTTGGTGCGGGTTGGCTGGGAGACGGCTGGAAGCATCGCAGGTGGTGTGGCTGAGGCGTCCTGCGGTAACCGGTTGTTGGCCTGCACCAGAGGGGTTGGTTTCGGGTGCTGGCTAGCTGCATGCAACCCCGGCAGCGAAGGTGTTGGGCCGGGTGCCATCAGGAGGGGCGCACGTGGAACGACAGGCAAGTACTTCCGCAAGAATCGCCTGTTGCGTAGGGTGACTCGACCAGATCCATCAACCCTCACGACATACTGGTCGAATTGCCTCACCTCCACCACAACCCCGGTCTTGTCCCACTTGGTCGGGTGCGGTCCGGTCTGGTTTTGGATACGCACGCAGTCGCTGACAATCAGTGGCGTGAGGGGACGGGTGTGCTCTGAGAGACGCTCTACAGCGCGCATGTGCCGGTTGCGCAGTGCCTCCTCGCGGGATGTGAGTGTCTCCCGCCATGTGCTGTGTGGGTGGTACTTCCCAGGGTGGATGGGTATGAAGTCACGGATGGGACGCCTGAAGATGCACATAGCAGGGGAGAGGTGTGTGTCATGGTCGGACGTGTTGCGCTACTGGAGCATGGCA